CACTAGAGGCGGTTTAGCCAATCACAACACACTGGGCCAGCTAACCAATCTGAGCCCATCACGTATTTCTGAGGGAGGGGCTTCATAAAAGCAGGAAATGATCAGCGTGTTTATGGGAGAAGGGACAGAGTGGTGTAGAATAAAGGTAAATTATGTGAAAAATAATGTTTTTTTTTTTTAAACGACACATTAACACGTTAGACTGCACCCCATAAACACAATCAAGCCTAGAAAAAAAACAGTAAATCACCCCTTTAAGGACAAGAAGATGCAGAATTGCTTTCTTCTGGGTTTCACATTAAGAACTCCGGTTTAACCTGGAAATCACTGCATAGTTAATTTTACTAGATTTTGATTTTTACTAGATTTTGTTATTAAATTGAAGTAAAAGGTAATTTATGTAAAATTATGTATGTAATTTGACATGAAATTACAGTCAGTTGGGTCCAGTGTTATTCTGGACCACCACTGATATTCATATTACTGATAAAAACGGTTGAAATATTATTTAAAATGAGAGTAAGTAATAGTAATAGCTGACATAATTTTCATTAGAAGTATCATGCTGTCAGAAGCAACAAGTCTTTAAATAGGTCAAAACATTAAAGTGAGAAAGGTGACTAGTGTTGAACTAGTCTAACTTGACACAACATTTGTGTTAAACGTGTGCAAATGAAGCATTTGCCCAGAGGACACAGGTATGGCCCTGCAGAACTATCGGAAACTCAAGCGGCACAATGCCTAATTTGCATTACAAGGACACAGCTCCCTCCAGGCCAGAAAGATGGCAGAGTTGTGCTCCACACCCACACTCTTCTGATGAATAAATAATATTTCTCCACCTCACATCTGAATGATCAGAGTGTAAGTTCTTCGGGACGTAAATAGCCACGTAATGGAGCGACACATCTTACAGTAAGTATTTCTCTCCCATTGGAAGAGCGTTGGGTCAGGTTGATAACAATAGTGGGAGGTTTGGGAAATCAGCGGAAGGGATCCTTAAGGTTTCCCCTTCAAGGCTTCCCTGAAAGTAAGACATGTCTCTTGAGTGTAAAATAAAATGATGTGTATCAAAATGTAAAGTAAATGGTGCAGGTGAGAAGAATGAGTTTGTTGAACTTCTAAGCATCGTGGAAAAAAAAATGTACAGACACTTTACATCTAAATGTATGTCAATATTCAGGTCTCATGTGAGTTTATGCATTTTTGCATTAAACAGTTACGCTTAAAAATAGGGCAATTAAAAATAGTTTCACTTACTGGTGAGTTAGTGTTTCTAGACATTAATTTCAAGTTCATTTAGACTTAGACATTACTGAAAGTGATAATGTCTGAGTGGGTGAATATTATCTCCATAAATAGTTGCATCCATTTTCAAGGGCTTGTTTAAGGACCGACTACAAACATGATAGGCAGGCATAATCTCATTGACAGGGTCAGCCAATCATGGTGGCTGTGTCCGAAACCGCATACTCTCTGAGTAGGTACTTAATTTCAATAAGTATGAATGCGATCTGGACATAATCCGCCATGTTGACGTTATCATGTGACCTGCGACGTAATAACAAGCGCAACAACTTAAAAGCAAAAGATATGAGCGAAAAGTTCAATTCATCTATCTGTAAATATCCTGATATTGATGAAACTTGCACATTTTGTGGTCTTGTTGAAGAAACAGCTGTCCATTTATTTTGTGATTGTATAACCAATACATTTTGGGTTTAAGTTCTTATATTTTTAACCCTACTAATATGGCCCACAGTTGTATCATTAAAGATGTTATTTTTTGATTTCCCAATTAAACCACAAATCGTCATCTCCTGAATATGATAATTTCTACGGTGGCCGAGAGAGCTGTCAATGAAAAAAACACATGCAAATAGAAAAAAAACGTGCAAATTAAGAAAACATCTTCATCAATTTGACATAACACACGCTGCAAATGCTCACAACACAACCAAATAAAGAAATGCGCTGCAAAAACAGAAATGCACTGCAAATGCTCACAACACAACCAAATAAAGAAATGCGCTGCAAAAACAGAAATGCACTGCAAATGCTCACAACACAACCAAATAAAGAAATGCACTGCAAATATGCACAGACCACATCGGAAAAGTTTAAGGGAACCGCAAAGTGACGAACATGGCTGGGACATATTTATCGTTGGCTCTGAAAGGTGAGATTTTTGTTTATTTTAACATCCTGATCATGTCTTTTTTTTGTTTTTTAATTATTAGCCTAAATAAGCTGACGAAATACAAAATTACTGTAACTGTGAAAGCATGTAAGCTGGCTAACTTACTTTACAGCGCGTTTCTTTATTTGTTTGTGTTGTGAGTATTTGCAGCGCGTTTCTGTTTTTGCAGCGTGTTTCTTTATTTGTTTGTGTTGTGAGTTTTTGCAGCTCGTTTCTGTTTTTGCTGTTTTTCTGTTTCTGTTTTTGCTTTCTTTGTTTGTATTGCGAGTATTTGCAGCGCGTTTCTTTATTTGTATGTGTTGTGAGAATTTGCAGCGTGTTTTTGCATTTGATTGTGTTGCGAGTATTTGCAGCACATGTGCTGTCAAACTGATGATGTTTTCTTAATTTGCTGGTGCTTTTTCTATTTGCATGTGTTTTCTGAAGTTGCTGCGCGTTGAGCTCTCTTGGCCACCGTCAATTTCTTTATTTTATGTGAAAAATGTTCATCCACAAGCAAAAGTGCCTTAAATCTCCCATTTTCCTTTTTTTCTTGCTGAATTTAAATTGTTTCATCCCTCGTGCTTTAAAAAACAAAAAAAACAACAACAAAAAAAAAACATGCATTATGATGAATTATTAAAATATATTAACCTTGTCATTGTACTTTTTTTCTGTGTATATAATCTCATGCTATGATGTAGGCCTACGTAAATCCATTATAATTATGTTTGTTTTTTGTTTTGTTTTTGTCATTATGATTGTTCACTGTTAAAGATACAACCATGGAATCTTTCCCTGGGGCCCGTTCTTCATACGATTGTTGACGATTTGGCATGATCTTGGATTATTTGGTTCTTCGAAGCTCATCCTGGACTTGCTGTCATAGCAACAGGTCCGTAAACTTAAACCTGCTCGGGAGCAGGCTTATTTCATGTAAACAGGATTAGATTGCATCTTTTTAAGTGGAACTGATATTTAAAATCTATCCTAGCCACTGCTACTCTATTACAAGAGTACCCTACTAATCCAGGGACAATAATTTAAAAGAATAATAATTTAAAATATTAGAAAATTAGAAAATAATATAATGTTAACTATAATACTATAGACACAGCCAGTTTTACTCATTTAAAAGATTTATTTGTGATAAAATAATAACTTTATATTTGTATTAGAGTCTTACACACATGCTGTACAGTTAATCTGAGTCATGCATTAATTTGAGTGCTGACAGCTATTATGGGAGTGGCTTGATGAAGCGCAGGAGATGCAGATAACTTGATCTTGACCCTTGAGAAACTTTAATTAATGCTATCACATAACAAATTTGCTTCAAAGAAAAAAAATACATGAATTGCTAATTACAACATTGAAATAAAAATGTAAAGCCTGTACAAATACTAAAAATCGTGAATATAAAAATTGGGAATCATTTTAAAAAAATAAAATAAAATACAAACAGTGCACATTTAATTGACCTATTATAACATTTTTGTAGTTTTGTTCACTTGGCTGTTTCCTTACAAAGGTCCAGAAATTTGTCAAGTTTCGTCAGTTGTCTTTTTTAATTATAATGTAATTACGTTGCTGTCTTGCCGCCAGCCAATCGCTGCATTGCTGATCGTGGTTTCGAGCATCGATACATCTGCCCTTTACGGAGAACAAGAGAATGTGCAGTAATCTTAGACAACTTAATCCAGATATTTTAATCAAATCCGCAAATTCGTTTGAAGAACCAAATTAGCCAGAGATCAGTTATCACGATTAGAAGATCTGGTATCTTTCAAATCATCTCATATGTACACTGCAAAAACAAAAGTGTTGCGTTTATAATTTTGTTCAGTATATTTAGCGAGGTACGAAGAACGGGCCCCTGCTGCTCAAAGGTCTCTCCATTGCTAGCCCACCCCAACACTTACGCACAATAATAATGATAAATGCTGACCAATACTTAATTATATTACACATTTTCTTACTGAAAATTATATATTTTAATAAAACAAGCAAAATCGAATTGTTGTCATATAACTTAGCTATGCATGAATACACACGAGACAAATGTAGCCGATGTGAATTTATCAATTTTCAGTCAGTGAATTAATGCATGAATTAATGTATATTTTATTTACTGACAACAATGGGAAACATGAATACAAATGAGTAAATTAATTAATAAAAGTAACCATCACAATAAATAAATTCATATACAAGTGAACAACACATGAAACAAAGCTTTATTCAAAGGTATTGTTCTAACAAACTATCACATCTTTACAGGTGGTGAACCCCACATCCTACTGCCATCTCAACACAGCTGTGCCAATTCTGCAGCTTTATTCTGATGAAGCGAGCCTTTGGCAGTCTGAAACATGCTTGCGCTCTATTTTCTTCAAGGCCTGAGGGGTGAGCCCTGCCTTCGTGACTGAGGTTGCTTCATGCTGCGCTGTGCTTCACAGTCTCACTCTTCTCAATAGGGACATCATTGAGCCAGAGGATGAGGAAGACCATGAGGATGCCCCCCTGAACAACACAACCTTGAAGCAAGAGTGGGTGAACATGTACCGGACTCACACTGTGTCTGCTCCAAACATTTGTGTGCCTGCTCTCAATGAGCATGACTACCTGTAAAACATTTAAACAGGTTAAAGCATTTTACAATTCATGACCCACAATTCACGTGTGGGTGTTTTTGTACATTACACCACTCACATTTGCACAATATTCATCACTTTATAAACATTTAAAGTAATTTATGAATGTTATCATTATCTCAAAGTATCTCAAGGTATCTCAAAGTACCATATATATATATATATATATTTCTTCTTTACACAAATCAAAATGCGTAAATAATCGGAAGATGCTTTTGTTTCATAATTATGCGGTTGTTTTTTTTTTTTTTTGCAATTATTTCAAGTAGGCAAAATAATCTGAATCTGTCCGTCTGCGGACATTTCAGATCCTACAAAAATGCACACACATAAAACAAAAGCAGTCATTTCTGTATTCGAAGTAACAAAATTATCTTACTTTATATTTTGTGTCATGTTTTCCCTTTTTATCACAAATGTCGCTGTCACCTTGCCTTGCAGGTCCTGCTCCACCACAAAAGCTCTGCAGCAAATGCACAGAAATCAAGAATCAGAAAAAGTGCTGTAATAACTGTTTGAAATTACAATAAATAAAATAAACTACAACTCAAGATTTAAAAATATGTTTTATTCATTTCTGTAGTGTACTCACTCAAAGCCTTTGATAGCAGCCTTCCTTCATCAGTCACTCTCCACTGGATAAGTACACGTGTCTCATCTGTCCCTGTAACATCCAGACAAGATTCAAGTTACCTCTGTGCTCAATGCTGCATTTAAATGTTGAGGTAGTTGTTGATGTAATTCGCTCTTTATCCAACACAAATCTTCCTCAATTTATCAACAGTACTAATGGACAAATGAAACAGATAATGTATGTTTAGTAACTTTGTTGTTTATGTGCATTACTTACATTTATCTAAAGTAAGCAGTGTTGACAACAGTGAATTCTACTACATAATAGCACACATACATCACTCCGATGTCTATTTCATGTCTATTAGTTGTGCTCATCTGCACTGCTTAAAGATTGTCCTGTCAGATGTTAAACAGACATTTAGTAATGTATATGGCTTATGTAAATCCACTTTGGAGACGTATGTGTGCTTACTGGAGCTCCCCTGTTCGCTATACATAATAAAACGTGTTATTACAGCAAAATCTCAAATATACTATACTGCCTAGCATCTTTACACCTTCAATGATTCAACAGTTTACTCTACAGTAACTCAAGAAATGCGTTACAAAGACAAGGAACCGTGTTTTTGATTTATAATACTCACATTTGAAGACACCCTCATCTCTGTTCTCCGCCCTGTTCGGTTATGACGTATCCTCTCATGTGACCTCCTGGGATAGAAAAGTATCCATCGGATGAACACTTCAGAATCTGGGCTGAAGCAGTAGGACATCCGGGGATTTCTCGCCTACTCTTTTATGAATACTGAGGTTTCGGACATACTACTCTCCTCACGTGGTGGCTCTTTTCTCCTACTATATAGTAGGCAAGTAGGCATATTCGGACCCAACTTAAGCATACGCAGGTCCGAATTTCGCGACAATTAGTACACCACCCATGCAATTTTCACCTATTCATTTATGAATACTAAGGATTCAGACATACTTATTTGTTCGCTTACTGCTTTTTGTTTACTATATAGTAGGTAAGTATGCGGTTTCGGACGCAGGTGGTGCCTTTTCTGTGGTGCCTTTTTAACTTGTCCTCAGAGAAAACGTCCCTCTGTGAAAACTTTTCCAGTTGCAAAGTACAAAAATGAAGGCATAATTAATTAATTGGCAAGTTATTAGTCGCAATAAAGCCCTTCAAATTTATAAAAAAAATGGTCTACAGCCAAGAGTGTAATGCAGTTTTGTGGTCATGTGCTGGAAAAAAAAAATGTGCGTGTATATACAGTATGTAATGAAAATGTCAACCTTAAGTAACTAATTAAAAGTATAGGGGAATGGAAGAATGTAAACTTAAGAAAAAAATTGTTCAAAAAGAAAATCCGTGCATCTGAGAAAAATAGTTCTGAAAAGTTTTTTTTTTTTTTGACATATTAAGAGCATAGTATAATGACTGCACACTGTACTCTCTACAGAGTCATTCTCAAGTGTAATTATTGAAAACCCCTGCAAATTGCATTCAGCACAGTTTTTGGGGGCATGTTTGTTTCATTACCCGATTTGCATAATTCTTTTAGTGAATCGGTTACTAAAACAATGCAGACAGCACGTGCAAACAAATGACGCTATCAGTGGGGCACAACTTATTCTAAATTCCTCCATACAGGAACTACTTTTTTTTCAAATGTTCACTCTGGTTTTGACAATAACTGAGCAGTTCTGAATATTTATTGGAATATAATTGACCTATTTTCATTGTCAATCTCTGAGGTCCTCAAACCGTTATTTCCCTGTAGTCCAGTGTGTTATTGAAAACAAATCTAAAGAAAACACCCTGGAGAAAGGGCTACAGAGGTCAAAGCTTCACATCACTGTCATCTATAAAAAATAGCTGCTCTATAATAGCCAACTGGATAAACAACACCTACTGTTTCTGTGGGTTTCTCTTTTCATCAAATCCAGTTCGTTTACTATTTTTGTCAGCAATTTATTGACCAACAGTATAAGCGTTGTGAGGCTCCACTGTGCTGATTTTAATTGCCGTACTCTGTAAACACATGCTTCTGTAGGCTATCAGTCGTTTGCACCGCGACTAGCTGGTTTTCAGCATCTCGACCATGGCCACTGCATTTTTAAGACACTGTGTCAAATTAAACAAAGTTAAACTTTTAAAACCATTCCTCTGTGATGCGTCTAGCATTTTAGACGTGCAAAGACACGTGTTCTGTGTCGAACGCACTTAAATCTGTTTGGCAATCGCAATAAATCAAAATGATAAAAACAGATTAATTAAATTCTAAAGAACAAAGACTCTCCTCTACATTGCTCTATATTGAGACTCTTGCCATGTGTCATCCGTTGAAAACTCTTTCTGCCTCCACCTCTAAAGACGTTTTCTGGACTATACACTCTAAAAAATGCTGGGTTAAATACAACCCAGTGCTGGGTAAAATAGGGACGAACCCAGCAATTGGGTTGTTTTGACCCAGCGGTTGGGATACTACCCAGAAGGCTGGGTTAAACATTTAACCCAACCGCTGGGTCAAAACAACCCAATTGCTGGGTCTGTCCCTATTTTACCCAGCACTGGGTTGTATTTAACCCAGCATTTTTTAGAGTGTACATTCATCCAAAACTAGAGAGCGCGCTGCATCTTGTGTGCTGTAGCCTATGTCACTTCTGCGACATAAACAGGTTACATTCTTTGCATAACCCTGATCATCTATTTAAGTAGCTACAACATGACAACGAGCACTGTTCATCCACTGGCCTCTCTGCGTCATCCCAACTGACGATCACATTAGCATTCAGGTTTGCTCACATGACCATCCAACGTGTAGGCCCTATATGTTATAAGTTGTATTCACACTGTTAGCCTATCATTTGATTTAAATTTCAAGTTAAATTTCAAGATATTCAAGATATTTCAAATCTAGAAATGACTTATGAATTTTCTAATTGTAATAAATTAACTTGAATTATTATTATTAGTATTAGTATTAGTATTAGTATTATTATCAATAACCTACTCTAATTTATTTAGTATGTTTAAATTATAATGATATTTCTATTTTAATACATAGGCTAGGTGGAAATTCATTGAATTAATTCATTGGTAAATTTAATTACTACACTGAAAAAAAAATTGGATTAATAAAAAACAAAAAAAGGATATTGGTTGCAAATATTTATGTTATGTTCCCTTTCAGTCGGTCACTCTCGACGTCACGTCGGATGACCGACGAATTGGGATCT